GATGATAATGTTGTTGATGATGATGATAATGTAGATGATAATGTTATTGATGATGATGATAATGTTGTTGATGATGATGATGAGGAGGAGGAGGAGGAGGAGGAGAAATAAATAGATATTAAATTATATATATATTAAAATAAATATTTTTGTTATATTATTATTATTAATTGTTTTAATAATGAACATTGTAAAAATTTAATTAAAAGCTGATGGATGATATCACACATTTTTTTAATGACCAATGGTCATTAGGCACATCAGCCGATTTGGTTTTTTGGCCCTTTTTTTCAAACCCTCTACACACACATGTAAACTCGGCAGGTCGGCCATTTATTTATTTAAACAATTGATTGCTTGCATCCGACTTAACAAGCTACACTAAAGAAATTTATTTGTTCCGCCGTCAAACCAATGGATTTTTGAAGGTTATGATCATACCATAAAATCAACGCGTAAAATTTTGACCAATAGAAAAATAAAAAAAGAGAGTCCCTTGTTAATAACAAAGTAATTTGTTGTCCCGCATCATAAAAAAGTCTTTCTGAAGGAACTGATGAAGAATAATAATTAAATAAGCCTCACCTACAAACATGTGTGTATTTTTATTTTAATAATATTAAAGGTGGGGCTAAGATCATAACTGTAATGAGCAGTGGCATCAATACTGCAATACGATGTTTCACCTTTGAATAATGTTGATCAACTAATTTTCTTTGTTCTTCTGCCAATTTAGTGTTTTTATTATCTCATAATTGTTGTTGTTCAAAATGCTGCCAAAAGTCAGGTTTTTGGCTGTTTCACCACCGCCTATTGTCGAAAGTTCATTAGTTAGAGTTCAGAAGACTAAATTAGGGCAAAAATTCCCTTGTTTGTCTTTTCTCTCTAATTGTAAGTAAATATTGTATTCATCCTCTTTAATTTCGGTTGCTCCCGGCTTATCTTTTAATTGCTCTGGCGGGGCTTGCTCGGTGGCAAAGCAGACCTTTATTTTTTTATCATCTTTTTGCGCATAGATTTTCGTTATTCGTTGGACTTCCTGAATTAAGTTCCTTTTGTTAGTGTTTTCAGTAGTATCTTCAGCAATTCCTAATTCCGTCTATAGTTTTTTGGTAATAATTTCTTTCTAATCTTGCCTTGGATAGATGTTCTTTAAATCTTTTGAATAAATCTTTAGCTTCTTCCTCCTGGCGAGCATTGTAATGTAAACCATTTCGAAAATGTTGACAAGTATCACATTAGTCGGTCTTTGGACTCATAATTTGAATCTCTGGTGTTAATTGATGTCATAGTTTTCTAAATGCATCATATTTTAGGATTTTAATTTGCCATCTTCTTCCAGACCAGCTAGAAAATCTCTATACACTATTTATAACTCATTTCAGCTGGTAAAAAGATAACTGACTGAGTTATTCTATTGACACTCCTTCCTGGACTTGGTAATCCATGAACTTCAGCATAATTTTCCAGAAAATTTTTTACTACTTCTGCAACATTTTTATCAATCACCATTTTAGTTTTCCATTGAGGCATTCTTTTAATATTACCATGAATTCTTGCTAGAAGACCACTTTTTATCAGATGATTTCTGATATTTTCAAAATAAGTTCTGCCAATTCCTAGCATATTGAAATAAGTTTCTTGACAAAGAAGTGTATTGTGATCCCAGTGATAGAAAGTTCTTTTGTTAGATCTATTTTTCTTTTTAAGGCGTCTACTGGCACTTACTGTCCCACCATCCATTGCTTTTAACTGGGCCATTAAAAATATGTCTTGTTCAGACTTGGAAAGAGCTTGAAAGGATTCTCTTAATTCTGCAAATTGTTCCTTGGG